CTCGACTGTATTCAACTATTAAAATCATCATGATTTTGAAAAAATATTTTAAATTCAATTTAATAATTTCAAATTATTAAGAAATTGTAATGACCAAAAACAATATTGCACATTTTGTACAGTAGGTGTGAATGATCCATTTTATGCTCACCGTTTTTACAGAAATTGTGCCAAAACTAAACCTTTAACCTTGTTATCCAAGGTTTTATAAGAAAACTGACAAGCTTATTTTTATTTAGTTAATAGGAAAATATAAAGATGAGTCTCACATTTTGGTATTAGGGCTGTAAAGAATGCAAACCTTGTATAAAATAAACAGCTCAAATAAATCTAGGTCAAGCACCTCCTTTCACTGATTATTTGCTGAAAAAGAAAAAAAAATAGTTTCAAGACCTATTATGTAACCTATTCATGGAAAGCGCCTGCTGTATTTATTTCTTTTTCTTTTTGAGTTTTACTGAATTCAGGCTGTGGATGTATGAGGATTAGAAATGAATGTTCCCATATTCTCATAGTCCCATATGCCATATCCTATAAAGCCGTAGAACCTCTGTCAGCCTCAGACCTCAATCTTTAAAATGTAGATGCATTTATACATATTTCAGCGTGGCCACTGTCATTTTAAGACAGACTGTTTGCTATGTCCTCTTCCTGAACTCCCATAACAGAAACAGATTTGATCTGTAACAATGTAAGAGTGGATTCATGGGACATGAGGGAACTCCTGTATGTGTTTTCAATCAAGTGTCCTGCTGTTATATCAGCCCTAAGCACACATTGTCCTGCGCAGGTACAGGAGGACACAGAGCACCTTCTCACTGTGATGGTGTGAAGATCCTGTTGTGTTTACAGGCCTCTTGCTGGAAGCAGTATCCTAAATTATTGACAGCTATTCTGTTTGGATTTTTTCTTTTTAAATTATTTTACAGAAGCAGCTTTCCACATTGTGCCACATAAGAGCTTTGGGTTCCAAAAAAACACATGAGTCACAAACTGTTCTCTTCAAATTCAGCTAGAATGAATTGTATTCTGATTGGAGGAACAAGCACATCAGAATAAACATGCTTTACTTTGACAAGGAACACAATTTTAGCCCCCATGATCATGCTTTCATATGTGAGAGTAAATGTGTCCCTGCAGCACAAAAGCAGTCTTAAGTCGCTGGGGGATATTTGTAGCAATAGCCAACAATACATTGTATGGGTCACAATTATACATTTTTCTTGAATGCCAAAAATCATTAGGATATTAAGTAAAGATCATGTTCCTTGAAGATATTTTGTAAATTTCCTACCGTAAATATATCAAAACGTAATTTTTGTTTAGTAATATGCATTGCTAAGGACTTTATTTGGACAACTTTGAAGGCGATTTTCTCAATATTTTTATTTATTTTTTATTTTTTTGCACCCTCAGATTCCAGATTTTCAAATAGTTGTATCTCGGCCAAATATTGTCCTATCCTAACAAACCATACATCAATAAAAAGCCTGATGCTTACATTAACACACAGACATGAAATATTGATTTGAGTTTAAATTATTTAATTATCTTATTAGATACTATATCATCTCAAAGGAATAGTTCACCCAAAAATGAAAATCTGTTGTAAATGTCCTCACCCTCAGGTCATCCAAGATGTGGATAAATTTCTTCATCAGATTTGGAGAAATGCATCATTCCATCACTTGCTCACCAGAGTCCCAACAGCTGATAAAAACATCACAATAATCGACAAGTAATCTTCACTGCTCCAGTCCATCAGTTAACATCTTGTGAAGCAAAAAAAGCATGTTTATAAAAAACATATTCCATCATTAATATGTTTTAACAACAAACTGTTGCTTCCGAGTCATATCAAGAATATCTTGTTTGTACATTTGTCACTTTCTCTTATTTTCCGTCTCGAAGATAGCCTATGATTTATACTGTATAGATTCTTAACTAATGGCATGACAACCCTTCTTAACACATGGGCACTCAAACAACACACACACAGAGAGAATCACATCTTTCACTGCCTTAAATAACTGCAAGGCCTTTTCCTTCATTACTGAAGCCCTGAAGCTAAATGTGAAAAGCACATTTAGAAAAATGGATGGGTAAATTAAATTCCAAGATCGGTGAGTTTTCTGTGGGCAAGTAACACACAATTTCTTCATGGAATTTAAACTGCTCTTAACACAATCCTGCATTTTTATTATTCAATAGCATAATACAGAAGCAACACCGCTGGATAGCATTCAGCCACAGTAGTAAAGCAGTCAAATAACAACTTGGTTTTTATATATATATATATATACATATATATATATATATATCCTTATACATGACTATGTGGTGTTGTTATTAAAATTAAAGTTTAATAAACAAATAAACAAGAAGATTATATTCTCGGGCAAGCATGGCCGTCAGCTCCGGGTCCGATTCAGCGGTGGCCACAACACCCGAGGGGGGCAGCCCCGCTGAATCTTCATCCTCGGAGGACGAAAGCCCATCACCCGATGCTGCGATCGACATCTGATCTTCTGGCAATGGACCGAATTAAATGCTGGCACCCTCATGAGGCGGGCCAGCGAAATCACTCTTGAGCCCAACGAGACAATCGCTGCGTGAGGAGTAAGAGGTCCGTGGGGATCTCTCAGAGCACTAGCCGGCGGTCCTCTGCTCGAGCCAGAGAAACCGGGATGGGTAGTGGTAGAGGGTGGCTCTCCCTACAGAAGAGAGATGCGAGATCGCAGCGACACCATGCTCATATGCCCACAGTAGACGCATGAGTCATCCACGAACGCAGCTTCAGCGTGTTGGATGCCCAGACACTGAAGACAATGATCGTGACCATCCACAGAAGACAGGTAATGACCACAACCAAGAGGAAAAGGGACGGAACGGCATCTTTAAAAAGACGCGAGCCGTCCGTGATTTGCTATTTTAGGGAAACTGCTCTTTCAGTTGAAGTGCCCAGGGGAATGGCACCGTAACACCAACCAGGACAGCTTCCAGACAGAATGATGAAATGGCTTTGTGGAGATCAGACACGTTCATCCACTCGGCTCTGAAGCAAAAATCTGAATGAGTGGATGCACCTGTTGCCTATTTATACCAGTAACACAGTGAGTGGCTCAGTTATGCAAAATCCACTAGCCAAATTTCATTGCCGTTTTCTCTTAAAGTCAGAGTGATTGGGGCTCCCAAGTAAATCCCCTAATGTCGTCACGACATAACTCATAGTGACGGACAGATAGGGAACTACAAGTGCATTGTCATTTCCATCGTCCTCTCCTCTGGTGACCCCTGGGTTATAGTACACTGACCTCTGACCTCTAATTATATCCCAAGTGCTCATTAGAAACGTGTCCAGGTGAGTGCAAAGTGGGCACACTGCTGTAATTGGCCATTATAACATTTCAGCCCCATCTGACACCTCCCTCTCTCTCTGCCGGCTCTCTGAAGCCTTGTGCAATTAGTTCTGTGTCAGGCTTTATCAGAGGAAAGTCTCTTCTGTTAATGCACAGCCTCTACAGGGCTTATGCTTTCTGCACTGAAAGCAAGAATTCAATTCACCTTCAAAAGTCACAGCACTCTCAGAAAGCATATGGCATTCAGAAGGGTCCTGTTTTGCTCTCTTTCTCCCAGAAAATACCCCTTAATGCGGCAAATTGTACTAAATGTGCACTTGTAGTGGGGTGGGGGGACTAACCAAGTATTTTTTAAATGATATTTTAATTGGACACATGACTTAAATCTATACAGTAGATGTATTAATGAAATATCAGTGTAGATATATGTCATGTGAGAATATAAAGGAGTTTATTCCATTATATTCTTTCTTTCTTTCTTTCAAAATATGCTTCTATTGACTTTGGCTGCATGTAGTGACTTTGTGTGTAGTAATCCAAGCTGATGAGTTACATTTATGTTCTGTTCAGTGAAACATTTACTTTGATATTTAGTGCCATCTAGTGAATATGATGCACAACAGCACACATTTAGCACAATTTTAAAAGGGGGCTGAAATCTGTGATAGAAAGAACCGGAACATGTGTCCAGAAAATTTCAAGAAATGCACTAAACACGAAAACCTGTCATTATGCATGAGTGCTTGCAAGCTTAAATATTATTATTAAATCACATAATTAATTTTTAAGAGTGTATATATATATATATTTTTTTTTAAATTATTATTATTATTATTTTTATTTTTTTTTAATGCCCTTAATGACATCATCCTCCAGGAAGTGACATCATTTTGGAGGGAAAATAACAACAGCCCAAACATGAAATCTGATATTCTAAAATCAAAACGTGAAAACATGTTTAAAGGGGGGGGTGACAATTTTTATTTTACTTGTACTTGTAACTTCAAACTATTTTCTTGCTCTCAAACATTAATTGAGCAATGGCTATGTATATAACATTGTGTTTGTCATGTTTTGAACTAGCATATTTACATGCACGTGATTATATATATATATATATATATATACATATATATATACACACACACACACACTTTTGAAAATAACAAGCTTGCAATTAAAAAACATAATGTAGAAAAGTAATAACAATAATAAAAACAACTTCTTTTTTTTCTGTAGCCGAACTTTTTTTTTTTCTGTTACTACTTTACCAGTTTTGTAATAATATTTGGAAATAAGATGCAGAATTTGTCATATAAAGGCCTAGTATATTTCATGTTTTAAATGTTCAAACTGGAAATGTCACCTTGTTTTATTATAGCAAAGTCGAACAAATTGCCTACTCGTCTTTCCCTTAAAATGCCTCCAGGAAAAGATAAGCTTTCAATCATCTGAGCATGTAAAAGTTTATCCATCTATCACACTCCTCAAGCGCTGCTCTGTGAATCTGAGCTCTGATTGGCTGTCTCTCGGTTACAAGCCACGAATCAGTCTGATTGGCTGAAAGTTTTCCACGCATCTCTTTCATTCATGTCAGTCCCGGCTCCCAGCAGCGCGTCTGGATGAGAGAATGATTGAGGCCATCAGCGCTGACGCATCGCTCTGCCAAACACACTGACTTACATTCAGGGCGAAAACGCATCAATTGCATCAATTCACCAGATCGGAATAACGATGCCAGAACTGTGGAGGTCGTCATTTTGCCTGTCTGGAGTTCTTTTTATAACCTTTCTTTCCCTGGGGACCGCAAGCTCCTCATCAGTCAGTCATCAGATGTCTCCTGATCTCATCCATCCTCCACAAATCAGGAGCAAAGCGCAGAGACACAGACACCAGAGCAGCTCGACACGAACACAGATAGATGTGAAAGGGTAAGTGTCTTATATCAAGTCATCGCAAGAGGTGCTGATGTCTGTGGCGATACTGAGGTCAGACGATTGAATATATGTGAATATGTGACCTCGAAACAAGGTGAAAAGTAAATAGACCTTTAACTATACATTATTTTTAAATGCAGTAAAAATGTACAGGATCAATTTTTTTTTCATATTACATTATTGAATAAATCATTAAAAAAACTTAATGGAATCAATTATAAAATGAGCTAAGATTCAGATAAGAGTGTCAGGAAAAACTAAAATTCGTATTTTTCTCTCATTTGAATCTGATTCCAAAATCACATGACATTAGCGATCTTGTTCACATCTTTCAAGATGATTGAATATATGTGACCTCGAAATAGACCTTTATTTATATTTGATTGCTTTTCAAATGTAGTGAACATAAATGTACAGAATCAGTTTTTTTTAATTACTGAATCAATCATAAAGAACCTTAATGGGATCAATAAAAAAAAAAGAAGTAATTATTCAGAGTAACTCCAAAATAATTCTTATTTTATATTATGCAAACAATGATTGTAATTCCATTAGAAATTGTGTTCGCAGCTTTATTGGATCTTTTTTGAACCTTCCAAATAATGAAAACTTAACTGAATTCTAATGAATTCCATTCATATTTTTTTTGTTAGTTTTTTTTTTACTTTACTTTCTTTTCGCAATACAATTGCTTGTAAAAGAGGTCAGACATCATGTTTACTACACATCTCATCCTCATCTTGACCTGGCATCCAAACTGTTGTGTTTTTTTCTTCTTCACTGCTTCTCCAAGTTCCACGTTTACGAGCAGTTTATAGTCTCCGGAAACATAACAGAGCACTTTACTTCAATCAAAGCTCTTTATAAATCCAGAATGACGTGAAAACATTGGCCCGTCTTTGTTCATCCAGTCAGATGTTTCTCTAGACTTACACCGGAAGTGTTGATCCTTCGAGCAATGAGGGGAATTCCTGATTCTCCTGAAAAGTTTGAGACCTAGTGACTGGTCTTTGTAAGCCATAACAGAGCAGGAAATTACTTACCCTTCTTTTCATATTCATTTTGAGGGAGCCAGAATGCCACTGAACCTTTGTAAGAGTTCATCAAGGATGCACCGCTGCTCGTCTGTAACATCCCTCCTCCTCTGGACTTCATTGTGCTTTTGGGTCAACCGAGGACATTGACTGTGGAAACATGTCCATCCCGGGGCAATGGGGGGAATTTGGTAGCTTAGAAGGAGAAGGAGGGTGTTGTTGCTGAGTTTAGTAATGCTTACAGGCCCGACGCAGGTTCAACAGTTCAGAGCTCAGAAGACCAAGCACAGAAAACAGCTTCATTTCAGAGCGCATCAACGGTGCCTTTCACACCTCAAAGTGAGACAAAAACATGATTATTTCCTCCTTGATGGAGGTGCCAGGCAAAGTAGGAGCTTTGTGATAATCCAGCAGTTCGAGTGACCTCGAGGACCACTGTTGAGGTTTTATTGAAGCTTCTCTGTTACGAGGTGCTGGAAAAAAGAGCCGGGACCAAGAAGAAAACCATAAACCCCCCTTTCTGTATTGCACAAACGTAAATAACATTTTTAAAATATAAAAGGTTCCTTTACAATCTTTATTTTACAGCCTCTGCTCCCACTAACGTGTTGGAGGTGCAGAGGTTTGGAAGATTCATTCACCGCTTTGTTTCTTTGCATTCTGTTCACACGGAGAAAACAAAAGAGCTGTAGGCCGAGAGACTGACATACATGTGGGTGCAAAAGCAGCTGGTAAAGAGCAGATGTGTTATTCTTCAGATTATTTTGTGATAGCAAATCAGATTGAAGGGATCGTTCACCCAAATATGACAATTCTGTCATCTTTTACTCACTTGGAAACCCATAAGACATTAGTTCTCCTGTAGAACACAAACGGAGATATTTAGCAGAATGTTCAAGCTGCTCTTTTCCATGCAGTGAAAGTGAATGTCAATCACGGCGGTTTCCACTCGGGTTGGATGCAAAAGAGCAGCTTGCAAACAACATAAGGGACTAAATAATGACACAACTTTCTTTTTTTTTGGTGAGCTATCCCTTTAACACGTCCAAATCTTGAAAAAAAACCCCGTTGTGTCCGCCGTAGCCATGTGAGCAGAATAAACACAGGCATCTTTGATCACTATCGAGTCTTGCTCTACTGGGAGCCTCTCAGCTCTGTAAACATCACTCACGTCTCATTCGGAATGTATCGTTTAGGTGTCGACTCGCATTAAAACCCAAACAGGGTATAAAAGTTGAAGGCGACTTTCCATTCTGTCAGTGCAGAAATGTCCCTATTTGGGCCTAATAGGGGCCCAAGTGAAGGGTCAAGGCCTTTATTTAGAGATCAGACAGACAGACGAGTGGTAAAAGGTCTCAGTGTTATGAGACATCTCAACACAGCTTCAGCTTAAAGGGACAGTTCACCCAAAAATGAAAATAAGCATGACTCAAAAACAGTGTGGCTTTCTTTTTATACATAGAATGCAAAGAGAGAAGAAAATTTTATTTTTACACTGAAAAAAAAAAAAGAATAAGAAGGTAACTTTCAATCTTCAAAAACTCACAAAAGCAAAATAAAAGTTTCATGCAGTGGTCCATTCAACTCAAACTTGCTGGGACTGGATCACTGAGTGAGTCAGACTCAGTGAAGTAAACTAGAGATTCCAATCAGTTGATTGACGAACAAATCATTCCATTTTGGTTTGTGAACTGAATCAACTCGAAAAAGATTTACCTCAAGAGTTCCTTATTACATGCACTCTTATCAGCATGCCAAGGATGAGCAGATTTCAAAGATTTTCAAAGTTGAGTAAAGATCAACTTTACTTTTGTACGGCTTCAAAAGGCTTGAAATACAACACTCAAATCAGGACAGCTACCGCTAATTTATGATACTTTTGCATCCTTTTTGAAGCTTGAAAGCTTCAGGTTTTCCTTTACGTTGCATAAAGGAAAAAAGTGCAGTCATGCACTCTTAAAAATAAAGGTCCCAAAAGGGTGTTTTTGTAAAGATGCCATAGAAGAACCATTTTTAGTTCCCCAAAGAACCATTATTTACCTAGTGTGAAGAACATTTTAATAATCTGAAGAAACTTGTTCTACTATAAAGAACCTTTTGTGCAATGGAAAGTTTCCATGAATGTTAAAAAATTCTTACTTTTCAGTTTTGACTCAACAATCCCTTTACAGATGCATAGACACAAAATTATATGCATGTAACATGCATATTATGCATTTTTTCTTCCTTTTTTTAAATGCACATTTTTGCATTTTTTTGTACAAATGCATTTTGGGATCATATTTACAAGCAGTGTTTTGCATGCAACAAAAAATCAACAGTTGAAAGTTGAAAGCTCGCATACTGATCCAGTGATTTTAGTTAACTCTCCAAATCTGCATGTGCTGAATTAGCTTGGGAAGGTTATAGGTCATTCTGACCTCCACATAGCCTGGATGGCCCATGCCAGCTCTGTCTCAATCGGCTTTCGCTGCTCAGACAACAGCCATCCCTCGGACTGCCAGGTCCCAACAGTGTCCCTTCAGAAGCCATACAATAAAGGCACATACTGTAACTAATTAGCAAATCCCTCCCGACGCTACAGAGGGGTCAGGTTGTTGCGTGCCGATCGTGAGTGTTCAGGATCGGGGCTTGTGTTGGTGTGCTAATTGCCTTTTCTCCCAGAAGCCGCTAGATAAACAGATGCGGCCCAGGCGTCTGAAGAAGACTCTTAATCCAGTCAAGTTTACCCACCAGACGCGACTGCCAGCGCCACTGTGGGAAAAACAATATTTCTCATGTGCATTGGAACAGAGAGGACGGAGGCCCGACGAGGGGGGCGTCTATAACAAACTCGCACCCCCCTTCATTTTTATTCATCAGCGCTATTTGTCCAAGCTGAATGCAACACGAGGTGAAGGGTCAGCTTAAACCCAAGACTATTCACTCAGTCCAATGCATCTTAAGGGGCCCAGGGCCACAGATTGTAAGTCTTTTAAAGATGTCCTTTCAGAAGTGGTTAAACTGTGATTATGCCGAACAGATTGATTTGCCGCGGAGCCTGGAAAGGTGACAAAAAAAGTGAATTTTGAAGTTTATTCTGCAGTTTTAAGGCCAAGCGGACTCAATGGTTGTGCTTTGTGGCATATGATGGGCTTTACTTTTTTATTTTTTCTTAAAAACTATTGTCAAGCTCAGAGTTTCACCCTTGATCTCTGTCCGTCTTTCTCCAGGCCCAACGTTTGTGGCACCAGGTGCTGTTATTCATGGCTGGCCAATCCCAAAACCAAACAATGCACAAAACGTGAGTATCTTTTCAGGGCCATTCAGATGCTTTCATACATTTCTATTATGCTCATAGAAAGACACGAACCTATACGGCTGCCAGTATTTCATTTAGTTCAAATCCTCTTCATTTGTCTGATTTTTCAAATGAGGCAATGAACTGAAGTGTCAGCACAGCTGGGAGCTGTAACAACATAATAAACAGAAGGGAAGGGGAAAAATGTGCTTTTGCAATCTGTTTGAATTGAAGGCCCCCTACTGTCCAACACAATATTCAAAGAGGAACCTTAGAATAGTATAATATCATATCATATCATATCATATAATAATTCATTATATTAAAATTCATTCATTATATTATATTATATTATTATATAAGACTTCCAATTCATTTTTTGTAAAGACCTGCTCATTTAATCCCTAAATCCGGTCATTTTTCATGTGTACTTCTGTGTGGTTTTAATGGAGAGTGTTGCTGCCATGAAGTGTTTTTTGTCATGCGTTAAATCCTGTGTCTTGAGCAGATGATGAAGACTTTTGATGAAAACTGCTCAGCTTGTATGTTCCCATATAACACACAAACGTATTTGTTTGGTACTTAATATATGTTCAATTTTAAACTAATGATGACAAGTTTAGGTTGCCAAACCTGTACACAGTGTTCTTTGTTCCAGCGTGCAGCAGTTATTTGTTCAGTTAGGTAGTTGAGAAATTGTTTACGTCTTTCTTTGTTTTATTGATATATTTTATTAGGCTTATGTGTGTTATATAATATTTATATAAAGATTTTTCTGTTTATTACGATCGTGCATCTTACTTTCAGCAGTAAAAATGTCCTTCATGTTTGTCCACCTGATTGTGTGAACATTTTAACATTCCTCTGCTCTAAGTAGGCCAAACCTCTGAATGCACAGGGCTTCAGCAGTCTGAGCTCTAGTCCAGCATTAATCCAGTCCCTCAGCTTTCTCATCATAATCCACACCTTCCTAATCCATATGTAGCTAGATTTACCAACTAATAACTAACCCCTTGACCCATGTGCCTTTAAAGGGCCAGTGCAACATCCAATTTTTGACTAGAAATGTGTTGGAAAGTCACACTCCAGGATTTAATCTGGGAAATACTGTAGCTTGACATGTTATGTGACGCAGTAGTAAACCATTAACAGAATGACAATATAGTTTCTCTGTTGTTCTCTCACTAGCAAGATGTCATCCGCGATGCCATAATAAAGCAGTTTGTCGCCGGCCGAACATCTGTCAGTGTCGTCTGGGCTTCCACGGCCATCGCTGTGAACATGCAAACGTCACACCGACCATGAGCACCTGGTTCGAAGCACATCCTGGTCCCACGGTACCCTCAACCTCTACCATGGCAACAGTTGCTATGGTAACGCCCGCATCCACCACCATCCATGGCAACAGCTCCACATCTGCCTCCAGTGATGCCAGTTCAGATACAAGAAAGACATATTCATTACACTGGCAGCCACCCAGGTGAGTGAACTCTTCATGACTGAGACTAATGTGTTTTACACTAAAGCGACTGGCTTGTAAAGCATGGCTATATTAGGAATGGAATATTTGCTTACCGTGCCGTTTTAATCCAGTTTGAAGTAAAAATATAGTAACAGTCAATAAATACTTAAAGGTCACACTGGTTATGGAAAGTTATGTTGAGCAAGTTGTATTAGTGGATACAGTGTTTCATGATGTTTATCTATCACCAGCTCTATCTTTTCTTCCTAAACAAGCAGTATAACAATGAAATATATATATATATATTAGGGGTGTAATGGTACAGGTTGTTCGGTTCGGTGCGCATATATATATTTTTCCATAAAATGGAAAAAGTTAAATTATGCACCTTGAAGTGTTAATCCAACAATTGTCTAATCCATTGTAATTTTCCAGTGGAATTTAAATATGTCAATTAAAATAGCAAGCAAATAAAATAAAATTAAAGTGTCCCTATTATGGGTAATGAAAGGTCAACAACAACAAGCTGACATGCATGCAAGGTCAAAAAACACTTTCATTGTCTTACTTCACTTTCAGATTTAAAACTTTGCAGGATGTTTTAAATCAAAGGTAATTTTCAAAAATCCATAACAGGGGCACTTTTAGGGGCATATAATAGGGGGAAGAAAGAAAGAAAGAAAGAAAGAAAGACACTAATGCAGAGAGATATTATTAGACATAAATAAGAAGGCTTTACATTGTAACATTTTCAAAGATGTACTTTTAATTTGCCCAATATTGTTGGAAGCATAATAATAGTCATTTATGTCTGTAGTTTTTAATTTGAAACATATTTATCAAAATTACTATTTATTTTTTAGGTATATGGAAAAAATGACATGATGCACCTTTAAGTGGAAAATGTACAGTTTACAGTACACATTTTGACAATAATACAGATAAAGCTAGCAGATACCGCAATCATATCACTTTTTTTTCAACAAGCGTTAAATATATATTAAATATAATTATATAGATATAGATATACAAATAAATACATTATACATAACATTATATACATAAATAATATAACTAAATTAAAAAAAAATACATAAACCTCTTTACATTGTAACATTTTTTAATATTAATTGAAATGTTGGTGGGAAGCATAATGGCAGAATCTCAATTCAGAATGGATTTCTTTATTCCAGTTTGTTGACATTCTTTCCATAAAATTATTTCCATAAGAAACTAAATGTGCGTTACTATGACATGCCTACAGGAGGCGCTCTATTACCCCAAATTAATATCTACTGTAAATACCCATCTGTCTGTACTGTACCTCGCTGCCAGCATATGGCAGCACAGGACTTGTATTTATATCAGTGAAATCAGCACATTCAAGAACCTCATTGTTTGATCGCTCTTTTTCCCACCTGACCTGGTAGGTCGGAAACATACAGAACTAGGTACTCAAAGCACGTTGGAGGTTTCTTCTTGTTTACTGAAGGGTTTTAATTCCATTCAAATGCTAAACAACTGTAACACCTGTATAGACTGATTAAGTAACCCTTATCTTCTCACAGCTCACTCTCCACCCTGAAATGAAAAATAGAGCTATCTCTAATCTCACCTCATGTTTTGCCAAGATGGATAATGTGGAGTAGAAGACATACTGCTCGCCCTGTAACTGACATATTTATTGTGATTGGCTGCCTCACAGGCAGATGCTTCTTTTATATTGTATTCAGATGAAAGAAGATGCAAAAGAACAAAAGGATCTGAAGAAAAGTGTTATGATTGGAGAGCCACACCTCATCTGATCTCAGATTGATGGGGCAATGAATACCATAAAGTGTAGGCGTCTTGTCCCTTGGTAGTCTCTGATCAGAGCTTTGATATTCAAGATGGAATGTATCTAGATAGAAAGCGTATTTGCAGTCATGGTTAAGAAGTGGTTTATTGGAACTCCAATGGGTCAGTGGAGAGGCACAAAACACAGGTCAGTTTAGTAATGTTAGTTAATGTTCTTACTGCAAGTTTGTTGGTAGATTAGCCCAAATAACAATAAATGTGTAAACATTTGTGAAATGTATAGAGATTTTTCAGTTTGGATATTTCTGTTGGGCCTGTTCATGTGTGAGAACATTGCCTGTCAGAGAAGAATTTACAACATTTTGGATTTTAAGACAGTAGTTTTGATCCAATACGATGAAACTAGATCTAATTAGAAATATCTTTACTAGTGTTGTCATGATTTTAGAATTTCTAACTTTGATACAATACCTTGACAAACTTTCACCGACAATAGCATTTTTGACAATACCACAGGGAAATCGTGGCATAAAATTAAGGGCAAAAATACATACTTTAAATGAATGTACTTTTGACCATAATTAAAGTATTTCCTTATTAAACTTATTTGAGATTATTTCGTTTTTTTTTTCACAGTAGAATTACAGTACTTCTGTCTTAATTTGTTCACTTGCAAAAGTTAAACCCTCAAGCTTTTCTTGTGGAAGAAAATTGCATGGAGAACTTTACATTCAGTGTTTTCAAATGCTAATTTACTGTGAACATGCTCTGAGATACTGAAAACAGCAGATCATGAGCTGCGTGCGTGCAAATGAACACAGTGTTCACTTTGCAACACGCAATGCAATGTACTGAAACTGTTTCAAATATTCAGAATTAATATGGATTGAAATCTGCTTTACTCTAAAACCAATACAATTTGGGTTTGTGTCCTAGTTTGAGAGATTTACTGCCTTCATGAGGTCTATCAGGCCCACTCTGCTATGATCTCAGACTGTTGAGCAAGTCCTCTGCTGAATCTAAGCTTGGGAAGGAAGTTCCTGCCCCGTGGAAACACTTCTCTCACAATAGACTATTGAAAGACTGCATTTATGGGTCAGTTTCAATGATCTACCTGATGGGCCAATGCTACATACTCACTCTGTGCTGACAGCCTGCAGTTTCCTCTTTCAACAGTTTTTATATCACATTCAATGTGTGAACTAGATATGTCAGATAAGTTCTCTGTTTTTGAAAGTCCCAAGTCTGGCAACTAAACCCAGAGAGTGTAATCTCTAAAACAAGCAAGTTCTGCTTTTATTTCCATGGCTTTTCTAGTCAGATATGAATGCTTACATTAGTTTGCTATGAAAGGTATGTGCTCTGCATATGTATTTTAGAAGTTTTCTCTAAATGGTAGTATATCATCACAGAGGGCCAAGCTTATTAGCTGTTTAGGGGATTTTTACAAAGCAAAAAATAAAGAATGGAAATATGACTGCACCCCAAAGACGGGAATTTTACTTGCCTCTTTTTTTGACAGTAAAAGAATATTGCACTTGGAACAATTTATATAATTTCTTGAATCAGAGACATGGTCTATATTTGAAAAATAGAGTATAAGATTGATTATCATTATGGTTCATTTTGCCGGAGCTCAGTGCAAATCTAGGAGTCCCCCAGGGCTCTGTATCAGGACCTCTCCATTTGTCTTATGTCATGGTTTTCTGTGAATACGGCATCGCTCAATCATCTCCTTTAGTAGCGGGGGTGTTTAAGCAGAGAGTGTGTGTGTGTGTATATATAACACATTGGGGGAAGTCGTGGCCTAATGGTTAGAGAGTCGGACTCATAACCCAAAAGGTTGTGGGTTCGAGTCTCGTACCAGCAGGGATTGTAGGTGGGTGGGAGTTTTCTGTGAATACGGCATCGCTCAATCATCTCCTTTAGTAGCGGGGGTGTTTGAGCAGAGAGTGTGTGTGTGTGTATATAACACATTGGGGGAAGTTGTGGCCTAATGGTTAGAGAGTCGGACTCATAACCCAAAAGGTTGTGGGTTCGAGTCTCGTACCAGCAGGGATTGTAGGTGGGTGGGAGTGAATGTACAGCGCTCTCTCCCACCTTCAATACCACGACTGAGGTGCCCTTGAGCAAGGCACCGAACCCCCAACTGCTCCCCGGGCGCCGCAGCATAAATGGCTGCCCACTGCTCTGGGTGTGTGTTCACTGCTGTGTGTGTGCACTTTGGATGGGTAAATGCAGAGCACTAATTCCGAGTATGGGTCACCATACTTGGCCACATGTCACTTCACATGCAGAGTTGGGAAGGTTTCATGTAAATGGGAATGGTCATACATTTTATAGGCTGTTTGCTGCTGACCCAAGTCAGTTTGTTTTCACTGTAAATTATCTCTGTTTGGGAAAATTAGCTCATGGCATGCTCAAGCTGAACCATTTGACTTTCTGTGTCCAGGCTGTGGATTTGAAAAAGGGTTGGCACATTTGCATCAAGAGCAAATAGTTGTACAGGAAACCATTGCAATGCAAGAAGAAAGTTGATAACTTTGGTCTGTTTGCAGTGGTATTCATTAGAGTCCTTTTCATTATTTTAATCGACCATTAAGGACAGTTTGAATTCAACTCGGAAATGTCATGTTGATTGAATGGATATTAGTGTAATGTTTCTTGAAGGAGTTCTTGTGAATGTGCTACAAAAAAAAAAGAATCAAAATTGCATTTCCTACATAATGCAGTCTAAAGTACCATAGATGGCATTCATACGGTCATATGAGACATACATTTACATAACATCAATCCATACTCTCATTTTTATCCAATTTACCCATTTAAAATATATTTTAGCTATGTTTTTCCTGGCAGAAACTGTAAAATAAATAAATAAAATAGTTTTTATGTTTTTTTTTTTTTATGTTCTAGTTTGTAATGATGCTTTTTAACTATGTTATTAGTTCTGCTTTTATTTATTTTCTTTTTTGTGGATTTCTTTTTGCACTTTTAAAGGGCTTTTCATTTTGGCTTGTGTTTCAGTTTAAAAGAGGCCCAGTCGGTCTTGTTAAAAAAAGCTCTGTCCAGTGGAACCGGTGGAGAGAAGATCACAAGTGTTATACTGAAGTACATTGAATCAGAGCGAAGAAGACTGGAGTCTTCATCCTCTACCGGAGCAACAAAAATCTCCAGCACCAAAACCTTCCACACTCAACGCGGCCAGTTCACCCTCATCTACACCGCAGGTCAGTTCAAGCCAGCAGGGATGATTTTGAAATATCAAATGTATTAGGCAAAATATTCACCTTATATCCTTCCCTGCAGAAAATAACATTTTAAATGAGATTCCTCTAATACTTAAATGGTTTCTCCTAAACATCAATGAGATTAAATGATGAGCCAATGGAGACTTTGGCTTTGTCTCTTAAAATGAGATCTCAAAAATGCCTTAAACATAAATCTTAAAAAATCTTCATTTTGTGAAAGAGATTTCATTATGATATCAAACTCAAAGATCAAATGATCTGACCTGTATGTTTCACAGAATTTTTCTAGCATTGTAGTCGAACAGAATCTCAACAATTGTCTCATTTAATAGTGATTTTTCTTATTTGTTCATTCTTATTTTTACTTTTTGAAGCATAAATGAGTTATGAAAGCGCAACCAGTGAGCAATGCAATTTTCCTCTGGGTGATCAAGCAAACATCTTGTAGCTTTTTGAAGCTTTCTACCATTAGTAACATTAGTATTAGTATATGAAAACAATTCCCATTCTACATTTTAAGGCAGTGGTTCTCAGCCAAGAGTCCGGGGCCCACTAGGGGGCCTCAGCACACTTACAAGGAAGGGGTCTTCAAGATAAGCTAACACTATTTGAAAGAGACATAACAACTAAAAATCCAGTTATTTATTATTTTAATTCACTGCCTCAACATCTTGACACTTCTGTGAAGAACTGGATTTTTCATGGTCTTGGAATAACCTGGAAATATGAGGTAGCCTTAGTTAAAAAGTATGATTTTTAGACCTGAAAAGGTAACAAAAATAAGTAAGTAAACAAATAAAGAACTTATTTTGTGCGTGTTATATAATTTGTAAATGCTACTTAAGTCTTTCTACTTCAGAATGTAATGCTTAATTCAATGTGATATTTACTAGCAATTTCTAAGTGAAAATCATTCCAAGTAAATTCTATACCATTTTAGTGTATTGCTCATACTACATATTTTATTAGTTAGAAAAGTCATGGGATGTATTGTTATTGTGGACTTCGAGTCCAAAAGGTGAAGAACCACAGTTTTAAGGTTTATACAGGTATCTGTGTCAACATGTTAACCTTTTCTTTGGAAGAAGCAGCAATGGTTTCAAATCAGCAGGCTTGAGTAGAGAATATCTTGTTTTAATAATTCGGCCTGTTTCCAGGTTTAAAACGCTTGTGTCGCGATAAGGTTTATCTGCCTGTAGATTCGGGCTGGTTCATTGAGACAGGACTGGATACACTATTGTAGCATATTCCTGCCATTGTTTAGCTTGGCTGAGAGGTGATGGTGCACTAATTACTCAGGAGATGGATGTGGTGTTTTGCTAATGGGAACCCCTGTGTCTCCATGACCTCATAACACACTGGAACGGCCCTCTGTGGCAGCGCATGGGAAGTGTGAGGAGACTGACCTCTTTCTTACTCACACACACACACACACACACACACACACACACACACACACACACACACACACACACACACACACACACACACACACACACACACACACATTCACACACACACACACACACACACAAACACACACACAGAGAGAGACGGCTAATGTTGCTTAACTCTAGATTTATGTTCTTCAAGCTCTTGAATATGAAGCTGTAGCTGATAAGTGAAGCTCTAGGGAGTAGAAACTTTGAGTGGCATGTTACAGCAGTTCCTCAGTCTGGCCCAGTATATTTTTGTTTCAGGTTATTCATGGAATTCACTTAATATCTATCACATTGTATTATGAAGCAGGGTTGTTGTCGTAACCTAACAATAGAAAAATAAATAAATAATTAAATAAATAAATAAACAAAGTTCCAATGAAGGATGTCGTCTCACGTGGAAAAGAAAAGAGCCGCTGCCAAAAGCCAGATCTCTGGAAACGCAACACTTCATGCCGGCTGAATCCAAGTTTCCAGGCTGAGAGAGTTTGTAATGTAATGTGACAGAAGCTCAGCATTCCAGCGCATGAGGAAGCCACTTCTTCATTAATGACCTATTTTTGCGATGACGAGTGAAATGGCACACTTTATAAATATTTACTCTCGTACAGCGAGAGCTGAATTCCACTGGTGTCACGCATCAGTACGATGAGCGCAAGACACAGTCATATAGAGACGTTACACTATAGCTTGACCCTTAAGCTCTTCGTCAGGATTTTATTGTCCAGTTTGTTTTGCCAAGTATGAATGCTTGTGTGAGATGTTGTTGATAGTGGATTTTTGGTGAGCTTATGATTAATGCTGTTTTTCCCCAGTGTCTGTGCACTGATGTGACCTGTTCTTCTGCGGTTTTAGAGTCAAGAGAGATTTTAGATTCGATTTTAGATTCAAAGAGGTTGTAATTTGACACTGAGCGAATGGCGATCTCAGACGATATTGCTCATGGTGTGCTCCAAAAAATCCCCAAAGTCCCTCTTAAAACCAGTCAATGGCCTGAGAATCCAGAGCTGGATTACATGAATATGGTATTTCAGTGTCCCTTTACTATTTTACACAAGCTTTAGAGGCACACATCGCATGTATCTGTTCATTTTGAGAATTGTTTGAAATGTTGGATAACTATCTAATCTAATATAAAGTCAGGTTAGAATGGAGAAATAGTTTCCCCATGTTTAAGATGCAGTAGGAATGAATTGATATTAAAATTACCTGAAGCTGTTATTCATTTTTTTCCAGGGCTGATGACAGATAAATGGTTGATATTGAAATGGCATGCTATTGTGTGTATCTAAAAAAATAAAAAAATAAAAGCTAACATTCACTCCATAAATAAACAAGTTTGTATTAGTTAATTTATAATTAATTACAATTATTTTTTTAAGATTGTGTCTTTATTTTTTATGTTTATTTTAAGTTTAGTTCTACAATTTTTTCCGTTTTCTTCTATTTTTGTAACATGCTTGTAATTATTGAAATCTAAACACAAACAAATAAATAGACATTTTAACGTTTTTTTTTGAAGGATTTATTTTTTAAAGATGATTTTAAGTAATTTATTTTAATAAAGATTTTTTAAAGTTGTCTTTATATTTTGTAAGGGTTTTTAAATCTATATGTGTAATGTTTATTTAATTTTTAGTTCTACAGATAGTTTTAAACTGTGTTTTATATCTTCAGTTTTGGTACCATGGATATGGATTATACAAATAAATATACATTAATTTATTTAAAAAATCTATTAATTCATGGATTAAGTAAATACTACTTATTTATTTATTTATAAATTGCAAAATCACAATAAAATGTCTTAGCATTTGGTAACAGGGTTGCCAGTATTAAAAATACTATGAAATAAAATAAAATACATGAAAAGTTGAATGTTTAATACTTTATGAAGGTTTAGCACCTTCTTTCACAAACAAACAAACACATAATTCTGAGGCCTGTTTTGTTGCTTATTCATGGAAAGTGTCAGTTCATGTTTCTGAAGCTTGACTGGCAGTCACTGGTTTCATTCAGCACATATTGATTAAAGTTTTAAGTTGCAGTGGAAATAAAAGCATCTGTCAGTCGAATAGCTGAATGAGTTTCATTATGAGTATAAAGTGAAAAGAAGATTTCATTGCCAAACCTGCATGAAAAAAGTAATAATATACTGTATGGAGATTTATGATATTGTGTGAGCATGCGTGTGTGTGAGTGAGTGAGTATGAGACAGTGTGTGTGTGTGTGTGTGTGTGTGTGTGTGTGTGTGTGAGTGAGTGAGTGAGTATGAGACAGTGTGTGTGTGTGTGTGTGTGTGTGTGTGTGTGTG